AAAAATGACAATATTGACTTTAAAATTTAAAATCATATCACGATGAATGTTGCTCAGTTCTGATACCTCAGAACCCGAACAAACCTGTTTGACTGGAATATCGTAGAAACGAAACCATTTACATACATACCAACCAATTCCTATATATTATATTAACATATCGAACACAAATTTTACTTTCTACTTTTATACCACACAAGCCTTTCATATCATATAAAAAATACCATCATTTTAATATTTAAAAAGTAAATTTAATAATGTAAATTTGTAATTTTTTTCCCCTCTTTAAGTGTTGATCGAAGATTAGCTTTGAAAATATAATTCATATCTGGAATATTAGTTTCAAAAACATTACAAAAACGAGACACTTCATCTATTAAAAAATCCCATCCATTCTCCCTCATCATATGTAATCGTTACTTGGACACTTGCACTAATTTCATTGCATTCTCAATATCTTGATCTTTTTTTTGTAGGGATTGTGATAATTTATTTGTATACCTAAATATCAATCATAAAATACATTGTAAAGATAAAGTCAAAATATTCATTGCACTGATTAAAATTCCAACTTCAACTAACTGTTGATCATGTACCCATCCAATTTTACAATCTTAAGCACTTTAATTACAAATGCATACATTTTGGTGATACTAATTAAAGTTCGAAAATGTGAGTTCCAACGGGTTTCACCGGCTTGTTGCAAAGAAATTTCTTTATTTAAGCCACGATCACTAAGTAAATCTCCAATCTTAAGATACAAAAGAATTTTTTCATTGAATAGTTTTGAGACTGTTGCTTCTCTTACAAGAATCTCCTACTGTATTGAGAATTCTTGAAATAAACTCAAAAAGTTGTTTGACTTGCCAATGATTTTTTGCTACTATTATCAAACATAATTAAAGTTGATAAGCAAAACATTGAACGTTGTATGCTTGAGGATTATCACGAAGAACAAATGCTTTTAAGCCATTAAACTAGCTCCGCATATTAGATGCTGCATCATACATTGGCCACGTACTCTATGCATGCTTCATGAATGTTTTGCTAATATAGATTCAAGGGTTGCCTTGAGAGTAACTGTATTTATTGAGGAAACATGTTTGATAACAATAAATTTTTCAATAACGTTGTCTTTTTTTATCGACATGTCTTACTGCAACAACTAGTTTTTTCTTCGTTGATATATCTCGAGACTCATCCATTATAATAGAAAAGTATGAATCAACTATATTTTTTATAATAAGGACAAGAGCTTCAACTGCTGCTGCTTGACAAAGTTGTTTCGAACCTTTGGTGAAGTCAACTGTAACTTTGTACTAGTGTTATCAAATATAACTTTTCACTTCTTCATTATGATTAGTAAGGAAATGAAACAATTCTAAATAATTTCCTTGATTAATTGATTCAGATGATTCATCATGGCCACGAAATGATAATCCTTGTCGTAAAAAGAATCAAATACAATCAACTGCTGCAGTCAACATAATCTGATATTCTTTTTTTTCTTTCATATTTACTTATCCACATAATAGGAACACTCTGTATTTACAGTTTCATTAAATCATCACATTTTTGTCTTGCTTTATTGTGAGCGCTATTATGTTCACCAACATGATATAAAAGTTCTTCTTTTTTTCTTTCAATTTTTAATTCCTTTACCAACAAAAAAAATCTCCACCCCCTTGACTTGTAGTAACTTGTCCTTGAGGCCTTAATAGATAACAATAAAGACAATATGCGGCGTCTTTTTGCACACTATACTTTAACCAACTTGGATTTCTTCAAACCACTTTCAACTAAATCTCTGTGCAACATTACCCATCAATGTTTGTGGGAAATTTTGATTTTTTGGTTCATGTGGCCCCTTCAACATATACGCTCTTTGTATTGCATCCTTATCATTAACATCATAATTTCAAATCGAAGGACGATGCCCAGGATCTGCTGGAAGACTGTCAATATTAATTTCTCTCGCTTTTTTCTTTTTAAATAAAGTTCCATTTATTAATGCTTAAAGAAAAAAATATCATCAATATAAATAATTTAAAATTGATAATAAAATAATTTTAACATGAAATATATGTTCAAAAAATAAAACATTCAAAATCTAAGAGTTCAATATCTTATAACAAGTAAATGTAAATGGAGGCAATAAATTTTAAAAAAAATACACTATCAGCAACTTTTAAAAAACAAGGCACACTGTCGCCTGTTTTTAATAAAAAATGCACATTGTTGGTTTTTTTTAAAATAAAAGAAAATAGGAACATGAAGACCTGTATGTGGCTATAGAAATAAAGACTTCGAGCAGTAAATCAATAGTGATGGCCACAAAATGTTGAATATACTACTGAAGCAAAAGACACAATAATTAATTTGAAAAACATATGGCCAATAATGCTTTATCCACTTTAGTTTGAAAAATTCATTGATGTCTAAAATTTATTGGAATGCCAGTTTGCAAAATATGTAATAAGCCAATAACCATATAACTATTAATAAGCTCAAATCAATTCTTAAAAGTTTATTAGTAAGAGTTAAAGGTTAACTAATTTATAAATATACCTCAAGGTTTAATTTTGGAAGGCAAACTATAAGACGGACGTAGAGTGTTCTCACTGAAAAATTCTTGAGTCAATTATGCGCATGTTTCAGGCACGGGTTGAACTTCATTGTTCCCATATAACAAATATTTTCACTCCCAAAATAATTTACAAAGCTCAACTATTTGTAGAGATAAGGATATCATGAATAATAATAATAAAGTTAAAGTTTAAGAATGATATGCAAATACGTAGAAATTGCCACCGAATTGGACTGTATGTATGTAATAAATCTTCCAAGTATGCATGTTAGTTTGGCTCGTGATAAGCATGTTTCTTAAACTTAATTTTTTTTCACAAAAATTCAACAATTTTACAATAGACTGCAACCATCCCAAATGCATCATTGAGGTGCAATAAAAGTCTAACAACTCGCAGGTTATTGCAGCGCCAATGAAACATATTATTACAACAACAACAAGTCTTTATCCCACTAAGTGGGATGGGCTACATGAATCCTTTTTCTCCTTTTTCTCCATTGTCTCCATTGCGTCCTATCGAGGGTCATATTTTCATTTAATTCTACTAACAGAACGTAGTACTTTAAATGTGCATATTTTCAAGTAATGGCCATGGTAAGTTAGAGCATGTGGGAACCAAAATGCTAACTTCAGGGATAGCAACCTTTCAATTACCTAGTAAAAAGTAGATATCCATTAAATAGTTTCATTGAGAATGAAGGAAAGTAAATTACTAAAATTTTAAAACATAGACATTAACAGAAAAAAAAAAGCCAAAAGGGCCTTGTTCCAAAAACGTATAAGGAATTTTTGGAAATCTTCATCTTAGCCTTACAAAAGCTATTAATTGTAAAAAAATCTCCATTTAGTCGCTCTAAATAAGACACCACCTTAGATGACAAAAGCTTTCTTCAAGAGTAAAGTATCAAAATACTCCTGACTGTTTACATCAAGTCATTTTAGTACCAGATCAAGATAATAATCACTTTTTTCGTTCTTTAGAAATGACATAAGTCTAAGAAGCCATGGCTTGACATTTGTGAATTTAAAAAAGTACATGGCTATGGTGAAGGTAGAGCTTCAACACTCAAACAAACATAAAAAAATTTCAAGCAATGTAACTATCTCTAACCTTGAATTTACCTTATCATATTGGATGTCAAAATCATCAACATCATTTACCTAATCTCAACTATCTGGGTTCAATCATAAACTTGAATTTAATATTTTACATCAATCAGATTTGGTCAATAATATTGCCAAGATAAGACAATTTTTTTTTAAATAGGAGGATAACAAATGGTTCCAATTTTTTTCTTAAATCTCAATCATACCATATCAAGGGATCTTATGTCAAAGTGTACTATAAACCAAAAGATTGAGAAAAGTGATTGCTCTTTGTCACCATAAAAAGCAAACTAAATTATCCAAGTTTTGAAGGAAACCAAAATTCTCCAATTTTTACATGTTTTAGACTTTTAGTGAATGTGGAGTTGGTCGTAGGTATTCACCAGGAAAGAAGAGAAGTGGTGTGCTCGGATCGACGAGACAGCGAGGAAGAAATGTTCGAGTTGCGATGGCGAACGGCTTTGAACTCCAATCCTTGGGAAGGGCCGAAGGGGCGACCGACTACAAACTCGCCGTCGACTTGAAGCGATGGAGAGGACGTTTGGACATGCGCAATGAAGGGTAAAAAATATGGAAAAGTGGATAAAATTGGTGCTAGAAATGGGAAAGACAAGGATATACTTGAGGATACATGAAAATAAAATGTTTAAGTAATTAACAAAGAATAGATTTAGATGCTAGTGCAACATTAAGTTGGACCAAATAAAAAATGAGAACTCATAAAGCTTCATGATTCTCTCACATTTATGTTGTTATTTTTTGATATTTCTAGGCAAACCCATATGTATATTGGTTAATTCACCTTTTTTACCTCAATTTCTCATCGAAATCTAACTACATTCTACACATTAAGAAACGTTTAAATTCTGATTTTCCTTGTTTTCGCTGTTTATTTATTGTTACGATGTGCACAGCTCAATTCTGATTTTCCTTGTTTTCGCTGTTTATTTATTTTTACGATGTGCACAGCTTGATCTTTTTACTTAGCAGTCTAGACGTTGATCATTTCTCTGCCTGACTAAACTTTCTAATAACATTGTAGAGCAATTTTTTTTTTTGTAATGAGTAGTTTGTAATTTCTACATATATAGAGGTTTCTATAGAATATCATTGAGGATTTATACTTTGGACTCCATAAATATTTCTATTTAATTCTTATATATTTATGGATGAAAGCTATTATTCCTGTACAAAACTACAGTTTTTGGATCTCAACATTTAACTCACAATTTATTTTTAATCATCCGCTTTATGCTGTCACTATTTGACATAAGTTTGGAGATTCACTTCTGTATTTTCCTTAAAGGTCTTTATTGATGAGCTTGATGCCATTGCTCCATCACGGGCGGGTGGAGGTGAAGAGTTATCCCTTAGAATGGTTGCAACTCTGCTTAAATTGATGGATGATATTAAAAAATCTGGTGGCATTCTTGTAATTGCTGCCACAAATCGACCAGACAGCATTGATTCTGCCCTGAGACGACCTGGTCGGTTCGATCGAGAAATTGAGATAGGTATGAACTGATGATCCTCATCCTGTAAATTGTTATTAGTATTCCTCTTAGGTTTCTTAAGCTCGCATTTTTTTGTGAAGCTGAATTTTTGTGAGTTGTTAGAAATGGAAAATATTTTTTTTTATACCAGGCTTAATCAAAAGCTTGATTTGTTTGAAATAGAACATTGTTTTTAGCTCTATGATTAGCATAAGGGCAATTTACATACATACCTTTCAATTCCTATGTATTTACTTATCAATCATCTAAACTTCTCTTTTTTACATTTATACCACCCAATTCTTTCATATCACATTAAAAATACCACTTATTTAACTTTTAAAAAGATAAATACCCTTTTCATGCATAGATAATGTGACATATATATAAAAAATGAAGTTTAGGTGTTAGATACGTAAATACATAGGAATTGAGTGGTGTGTATGTAAATCTTCCTTATTATATAATCATGCTTGTTGAAACTATGATATAATAAATGGCACAGCCTCTCCTTCAGTCATTTTCCTTTTTTTTTTCCTGCTCGAATCTTGTTGCGATCGTACAATGTAGATTTTTGTCCAATTGCCACCTCATTTATGCTAGCTTGAGCCAATATTTAATAGTGTTTTGCCTATTCCTTATATCAATTTTACATTTTCTGAATAATTTAATATTTCAAATATTTACTATTCATTAAAACTATTAACATAATACTACAAAGACCCATATATTTTTACACTTATTAAAGGCGGTAGATTTTGCCTTTCGTGACACTGCAAGAATTAAGTATAGTGTTGTCATTGAATTTGGAAATAGACTATGCCAATATGAAAATGTTGCATAGTGTTGAATTGGAGAACATTGTTCTCTTATTAGCTAAGAGGAGTGCCTATGTAATAGAATAAAATGCATAAAGTGTCAAAATAATCTCCTGTTTATTTAGATGTGTCATTTTAGTTTCAATGTTTATAGAAGTGTCAAATTATTTATCAAATTTTTTGAATGAGAGACTGAAATAGTCCTCCCCGTGAACCATTTCAGCCCGTATTTAAAAGAAATTGGCAGCTAAATTGACTATTTTATATCCTTTAGGATTAAAATGACCTCCTGCAAAAAGTTGACGGCTCTTTTGACACTTTTCTCTAGAATAAATACAAGAGATGGGAAATGAAGAGGGAAATATCTTCAATTATAAGGATATTCAAACATTAATAGAATCATTTCTCTTGATTAGCTTACAAGTGCTCTTCTTAAGTGTGTTCTTCTATTTGTATTTTCCAACATGGAATGTAAGGCAAACTTATTGTTCCATTGATTTGAAGCTGTTTGAATTCATTTTTTTATTTTCAGGAGTGCCATCTCCAGTCCAGCGGTTAGATATATTGCGTACTCTGCTAAACCACATTGATCATTCCCTTTGTAATGCTGAGCTCGAGTCATTGGCTTTTGATACACATGGTTTTGTCGGTGCCGATTTAGCTGCCTTATGTAATGAAGCTGCAATGACTTCTCTTTGTCGCTTTATTAGCTTCAAATCTTCCGAAAAACTTTTAAAATGTTCACATTCCAAAACTGGTGCAGTTGATACGGATAAACGAGTTCCTAAAATTCAGGAACCTGGGGAGGTTTCATGTAATGATGATTTGAATTCTATATCATCCTTATTGTCAGAATTGACTATGTCATCAACGCCAGCTTCGCCTGATAGTTGTTGTTGTGGTCCTAAAAGTCGTACAGAATGTTGTTCATATGATTCTCATGGAGACGGGCAAAAGACTTTGTTAAAAGTAACTGCGGAAGATTTTCAAGTTGCGAAGACGAAAGTGAGGCCTAGTTCTATGCGTGAGGTATTATTTTTACATGTATATATGATTTCTCTTTTTTTTTTTTTTTTGCATTCTTGTGTCAATTATATTATCTAGTGTAAATATGGACTAGAAATTGGCATCAATATATATAAATATGTTATTCTCTTTATTGAAGGCCAATTATAGATTGTGACTCGATTTTCAAATAAGGAATCTGTAAAAATACTCTCCCGACTCTTTGCACGAGGCTATTTTAGTCTGGAGTTTATAAAAGTATTAATTTAATTATGAAGCTATTTTATGCCAAATGAGGACTATTTTAACCCTCATTAAAATAGTTCATAGAGTAATTTAACATTTTTGTAAATACTGCAACTATAATAACCCAATTGTAAATAGTCAAGGGACTATTTTAGCACTTTACTTAATTTCAATTAGTGAGGACTTTGAAAATTATCTCATTAATCTATTTGTCCTTTGATAATATTTAGTGAGTCTTGTAAACAAGCTACGAAGAAAACTTACAAAGAAATTCCATGTATCTATTTTCAACTTATTGCAAAAAATATTAATCCTAGAGCCAAACATTTTAACAATCCCCAAAGTGCGAGGACTCTTAGAATATTGATTCAATTTCTATGTCAATGATTATCTGAAAAGAAAAGTGTCACAATGATCTCCTGACTCTTTGTAGGGGGTCCCCAAACTTTGTTAATGGGGGCTAAAATAATCTTCTTGGAGAACTATTTTAGCCCATATTAAAAAATTCTAGGGACTAATTTAGTTTTTTTTCTTTATAAACTCTAAGATTAAAATAATCCCATTTAAATGGCCAGGAGACTATTTGGGCACTTTACTCATTATCTGAATATCCATTAAATTGTAAGACAACTTGGTTTTCACTATTTACAGGTAATGCTTGAACTTCCTAAAGTAAGTTGGGAGAACATTGGTGGCCAAATAGAAGCAAAAAGGCAGTTGATTGAAGCAATCCAATGGCCACAAATGCATCCCGATGCTTTCAAACGTATTGGGGTTCAACCTCCTCGAGGATTATTATTGATTGGCCCTCCTGGTTGTAGTAAAACCATGATGGCACGGGCGGTAGCTTCCGAAGCGAAGCTGAACTTCCTCGCAGTTAAGGGGCCTGAACTTTTTAGTAAATGGGTTGGGGAATCTGAGAAGGCCGTGAGATCAATTTTCGCAAAAGCAAGGGCGAATGCTCCAGCAATTATATTCTTCGATGAAATCGACGGCCTTGCGGTAACTCGCGGAGCGGAAAATGATGGTACCTCGGTTGCTGACAGGGTTCTGAGCCAGTTGCTGGTGGAAATGGATGGTATGATACACATTATAACATGAAATTTTACATAAATTAGTAACATTTTTATTAATATAATTCAAACCACATTAGGAAAATCAAATATTATTACGGAAAGTAAATAAACTACTGCAACAAACGCATTTGAAAGGAAAAATACAATACGATGATGCCCGGAAATCTGAAATAACAAACACAACTTGTGCTTCTATCTCAACATTCTTCATTACTATTCATGGTTTGAATGCTAGATTCTGACATTCTATATTTACCAGATAGGAAGTTTCGGCCGGTTTGGTTTAATCCAAGTTTTCAGGGAGCTCAGAGTTTTTTTTTTTTTTTTTTGTGTTAAAAGTTCTTAATGTTTGGTCATGTGAAAATAAAACTACTATTGAAATTTATTATGCAAAAGCTATTTCTTTTCATCAACAAAAAAAATTATGGGCAGATTTGCAAACATCAAATATCAATTTTTAGCCTTTATTTTTAAATTCTAAGATACCTACATTAATATGCAAAATAATTCACTGTTGTTTTACTTTGCTCTCCCTTGTAAAAATCTATTTTAATGTTGAGTTATGATGCATTCTTATTGTTTCACCCTTGGCGAATGTAACTTTGAACTTCTCACCTTTTGTATTTTTTACTCGACATCGTTCATCAGGTCTTGGCCAAAGAGTGGGAGTTACAGTCATTGCAGCTACTAATCGTCCTGACAAGATAGATCCTGCGCTTCTTAGACCAGGTTCTGCCATAACTTCAAGGGGCCTTTACTCACATATTACACGATTCTTCTATATTTACATATCGAACACCTAAACCTTCAAATTTACATACATGGCACCCAAATCTTTGACATCATGTAAAAAATGTCACTATTATTGACTTTTTAAAAGTGAAATACACCTTTTCATCCATAGGCTTTAACGCCAAAGTGTTACAAATGTAAATAACAAATTTTATGTGTTAGATATGTAAATACATAAGAATTGTCTCTCCTTTTTTCTGAATTTGAATTGATAATTGGGGCATTTACATTCATGCCGCCCAATTTCTATGTATTTACATATTCAACACCTAAACAATGCCTTTTACATTATGCCACCCAATTCTTTCACATCACATAAAAAAATGCCACTAGTTTAACTTTTAAAAAGTGAAATGCATCTTTTTTTTATTAGCAGGTAAAGTGGCGTATTTTGTAAAAGTTGAAGTTTGGGTGTTAGATATGAAAATACATAGGAATTAAGCAATATGTATGTAAATCTTCCTTGATAACGTTACTTCTTTAAACTATGCGCCACTCAATCTAAATCGACCTTAAATTTGCACATCAGTCCTCCTTGGATGTCTTGGTGTCGAGGTTACTTGTTCATTCATAAATTTTGATTTATTGCAGGACGATTTGATAGAATTGTGGATGTTCAACCACCAAATAAATCAGATAGGGAAGATATATTTCGAATACATACACGTGAAATGCCTTGCGGTCCCGATGTGAGCCCATCAGAGCTTGCTCGTCTTACTCCAGGATACACCGGAGCGGATATAAAGCTCGTATGTCGAGAGGCCGCCGTTGCAGCGCTAGAAGTTTGTTTCCATTTTCTGCCTTTTCTTCTTGTCAATTTTAGGCTCATTTGAGGAAATTTTCCTGCTTTTTCAGTTACATGCATACCACCCAATTTTTATGTATTGACATATCTAATGCCTAAACTTTAGTTTTTTACATTTATACCCCGCTAAACTTTCACATCACAAAACAAATATCGCCATTTTAACTTTTGAAAAATGAAATACGCGTTTGTCATGAAGAATGGCATTTATGTAAAGATCAAAGTTTAGAAGTTAGATATGTACATAATATGAATTGAGTGGAATACAAGCCTTCCTAAAATGATGTTTTTTTTAAATCAATTTTCAAGTTGTAACTTATACCAAACTTCAAAAAACAACTTTTGTAAATAACTGTTTTTTGAGGGGCTCTTTTAAAAGGAGAAGTCTAAAAATTTTCTTCATCACATTTTTTTCCCAATCATGGCCTAATTGCTAGCAATTCATGTCAATATTTTCTTCATTTTATACCCTTTTTAACCATGATGTATCTTCCTTTTAACAGGAAAACCTGGAGATATCTGTAGTCTCCATGGAGCATTTCAGGATTGGAATTAGTAGGGTGCATCCTTCAGAAGTCAGTTTTTATCAGAAACTTGCAGAGCAATTTCGGAGGCTTGTTGATGGTGGATCTGCCTGAACTGCATGCCCATTGTCTTGTATGATTATATATTTATTGATATGGTGGCATTTAGTTGCATCCCACACAATTCTTATGTATTTACATATCTTGCCCCTAAATATTCATATTTACATGATGCATATCACTCATTTTCGGATGATCACATCAAAATAGCACCATCATTATGTTTTTAAAAGTGAAATGCACCTTTTCATGCATTGTTCATGACAACAAGATGTTATAAGGATAAATATGAAAGTTGATATATGTAAATGCATAATAATTGTTGCATATATGTAAGCCTTTTTATATATTATTAGAAATTTTATGCATACAAAAAAATTGTAGATGTGGGCTCATGTTACATGTTCTACTTTTTTAACCTTTAATGAAGAGATAAAGTGGCAGAGACGTAAAAATTGAAATTTAGGTTTGCCATATGTAAGTATTTAAATCTTCTTTAATTTTAATTTGTTAAATTTTTAGTTCTGAGTTATCATCAATATATATCTAATTTCGTTAACTATTTGATTAGCTGCAGAAAGAAATGCAATAAAATCCCATAATAAAAAAATCAAATGCATTTCAATTAAGAGGCATTTGCATACATACCATATAATTTATATCTATTTACACATCTAATACTTAAACTTAAATTTTTGACATTTATAATGCCAGAACTTTTCGCATCACATCAAAAATACCACTATTTAAACTTGCATACCTTCTCATGCTTGTAAAAATTGAAATTTAGGCATGAGAAATGTAAATACATATGAATTAAACGGTATGTATGTAAATCTACCATTTGTTAAGTGCAAACTGAATTTACCATCACAATTTAGCAATTCATGAGTTTGTACAAATATGAAAAGTTCCTCAGAAGCGACAAAATAAGAGAACAGATTTGAAATTTAGGCATGAGAAATGTAAATACATATGAGTTAAACGGTACGTATGTAAATCTATCATTTGTTAAGTGCAAAGTGAATTTACCATCACAATTGAGCAATTCTAGGAAGAGTTTGTACAAAAATATGAAAAGTTTCTCAAATATGAGAAGCGACAAAATAAGAGAACAGACGGAAAAACAATTATATTAAGGGATGCAAGGAAGCAGATCTAAATAGATGGATAAGCGACGATGATTTTCTTCAAATACGGTTGCCAAATCAACTATAGACCCACAGTTCCATCTTTAACCACTTTCATGAGGCTACTTCCGCCAAAATGACACCACTCTAATTTTGATTTACTACAAACCAAATGTAAATGGTTAAATTGTTAACATACATACCACCCGATTCCTATGTATTTACATATCTAACATCTAAATTTTTTTTTTTTACATTTATACCGCCCAAAAATTTGATATCACATCAAAAGTATCACCATTTCACTTTGTAAGAAGATATTGATGGCGATATTTTTATGCAATGTTAAAGATTTGAGTGTTAAAGTAGCGTAATATGAATGTTTAGGTGTTAGATATGTAAATACATAAGAATTGTGGTGATGTATGTATTTTTTGTTATGATATTAAAAATTTGCTTGTTTAGCATTTTTATCCTCCATAACAAATTTACAGCTTATCAATTAAATTTTATTATGATGAAAAAAAGTACTATTATTCACAATCCAACACCATCTTTCATCCATTTTTCGCTCAAATATAAAAAATCAAAATAAAACTCCAATCCATAGATAATTTTTATTTTAATTTTTATTAAACTTTCAATGGTGTGATTGTGGCATGTGTAGGTGATAGTTTTCTCAATAGTTTTGAATGGCATATATGTAATTATCCCTAAAAATATAAGAAATCAATAAAATATAAACCTATAATTTCTTGTTTAGATTGTTAAAGTAGGTGGAGAACTTACCATTCATTAAAACTGCTCAAGCACACGCAATGGTAACAGTTGGGTAACACAAACTCGCTATTCGGCAGCATGCACTCCTCCTATCTTTCAATGTCCGCCACAGATAAATGCTTCTGCTTTTCATCTTCTTTCTCCTGTACCTTTCCACAGGAACGTAATAATAAAGGAAATTTACACAAATACCACACAATTCTTATGTATTTACATGTATAACACTCAAAGTTTGATATTTACACTTAAAACACCTTGGTGTTATAACCTTAATACATGAAAATGGGTGCTTCACTTTTAAAAGGATAAAGATGGTGCTGTTTTTTATGTGATGTTAAATATTTTAGTGATTTGCATGTAAATAGGAATGATTAGGTGTAGATTTGTAAATTCATCATCCAAATAGCCCTAATAATGAGTGATACGAGAGACTAATTACCATAAAATTGCTTAATGCTTGCTTTCTTTTCACTGGTTAACATTGTTGTTGTTCCATCAATATAAACCTGCAGAAAAGCAGCTTGGTACACTGAAATCAACTAAAAATTTTGAATATTTAAGCCAAACAAAAAATAAAGGTGAATTTACATATATACCTTTCAATTCCTATGCATTTACATATCTAACACATAAATTTTACTGTTTACACTTACACCACCCAAATCTTTTATATCACATCAAAAATACCATTATTTTAACTTGAAATACATCTTTTCATGCATATGTAATATGACATATGTAAAAATTGACGTTCAGGTGTTAGATATGTAAAATAATAGGAATTGAGTAGAATGTATGTGAATCTTCCTAAAATAAAAGGGATAAAGTTAAGGAAATTTTGCACAAGCACCAGATAATTCTAATGTATTTATATATCTAACACCTAAGGTTTTGATATTTAAATTTATGATACTTAGGTATGATACACATGCTTGAAAATGTGTATTTCACATTTAAAAATTTAGCAATAGTGACAAATTTTTTACATGATGTTAAATATTTGAGCAGTATGCATGTAAATAAGAATGTTTATGTGCTAAATATGTAAATATATAAAAATTGTGGTACGTTTGTAAATGCTTCTAACTTTAAATATGGATGAGAAGAATCAAACCTTATATATCAAAATTCTCTTCATTCCTAGAGCTTCTGCAAATTTGCAGTTCATCCACTGGGCTTGAAAAAGAAAGAAGGTGGCTGCAGGAGTGAACGATATGCAGATTTGAAGGCAGGCCCATCGCTTAGAAATTCAGCGGCCCTAAATCTCACAATAAATGATAAGAAAAAATATTAAGGCACAAGCCCCAGAAATAGAGTAACATATTTCTGTAGTAAGACTGAAGAAGATGACACATTTACATGTGAAAAGTAAAATTAACAAACAATCTGTAGTAAGACTGAAGAAGATGACACATTTTGTATTGTGTAAATCAGCAAAAATTGTCATCTGTATCTATATATATATATTTGCAAGTTTGGAATGAATAAGAAATATTTAAAAATAGTGATATATTTTATGTAATGTCAAAGATTTGAATGATTTTTATGTAAATATGAAAGTTCAGGTGTTGGATATGTAAATATACAAGAATTTTGTGGCAGGAAAGTAAATGCTTCTTTTTTTTTTCAGATTTAGGTGATGTAAAACAGCTTAGAAACCAAAGAGTTTATCATAGGCAGGCGCACAAATTATAGAAAACTTGGTGGATAGAAATCTAAGAATCATCATAACAGTTACGGCTTCTTGTAAAGTATTGGGGTAGAGCCTGATTTTCTATAGGCAGGATTGGCAGAAAATTCTACTGGTAACTATTATTTTTTATAGCAAAACACAGTTCAAAGTTTCCTTACTAAAATTATTATCATTCATGAGGTTAGCTATAAATTTATTGTTCACAAAAAGCTCAAGAAATTCATGGATAAGCCTCAGGCGTACATCAATCTTCGTGATCATGGCAACGATTATATAAACAGGGGAGATACAGAGCCTTGAAGAAGGAAAAACTTTAAGAATGGGATGGTGTTAAGCAAAAAGTTGCACCAGAAAAAAAAAAAAAAAAAGAAAAATAATGAATTCTAATTTGTCCGAAAATCATACCCAAAAAATAGAGCGTAAATGAAAAGAGAGGAAAGAGAATGAATATTAATTCGTCATTACTTATGCATAAAATGATTTTCTTATTTATGGAGGATATGATACATAATGATGATATTATATTTTTGCCCATTCTTTAAGAGAGACAATACTGACATATTTTTGGTATTTTATATGTATAAGTTTAATGTACGGCTGCTCACTAGTTCACCCGTCAAAACATAATTGACTTTGAGTTGGCAAGATTAACTCGATTGGCTGAGCTTGATCGATATGAGTCGGTCGGTTAACATGGTCTAACTGCTGATCCTCGACTCCTAATGGGGAAATTCTAAGCGTCCCTGGGATGGTTGGAGATGCTAGGGACTCAAATCTTCTCTTGGGTGGGTATTCCCGCGGTGGTTGTCTTAAATAATTTTTTTTTTGTTTATGGTTGAGTGACTCATCTTTGCGTGATAGAAATCTGCTTCGAGGACATTCAACGAATCCTTGAACGATTACTTCGTGTAATTCGAGAGTATCTCCAGCTACCAAACGGGGATACAGACTACCGTCCCCTTCCTTCAAAAACACTAAGTTCTGAGTTTCGAAAACCCTAATTTCACCCTTTCTCAACCTATCGGAGTCGCTTGCTCTTATTGCCGTTGGATTTGAAGGAAGAGAGCCCGCAAAGGGTTGCCGGAGGAAATGGTTGTGGAGTTGTGTTACTTGCTTCAAGAATCCAACCAAGGGGGTGTTTGGCAGCACATTTTAAAGAGAATTTAATCATTAATTTAATTTAAATCAAGCCAAACACAAAAAATAAATAATAAAAAAATAACTCTTAAATCAAATATATTCTCTTTTTGTCTTGTGTACAGTTGTTCCAAATTTGAAAAATCCCACAGAGAGGCAGATTTAACGGATTTACGTTGTTGTTGCTTCCGATCTTCACTCTTGATAAATCCTACTTAACGTAAATTCGATCGCCAAACAGCCCTTAAAAAAACACATACAAAGTAGAAACAAAAAATGAAAGAATCTAGAAATAAACATTTAAAAGGAAAAAATAAGGGGAATAAAAATAGAGAGAATGCTCCGCATAACCCGACAATAGTGCAATAATCCCCATCCAAGACACTAGGAAAAATTATAGCATACAAAGTAGAACTCACAAGATATATTTCTAAAGGTTGAAACATAATATATAATTCCATCCACTTAAGAACATGTCCATATAATAGAAAAATAGATGATAAAATTAATCACAAGAGATAGTTGAGATCAATTATATATAGAGAGCACATCATAGCTCAACCACCCACCCACATAACTACTGAGCCGGGCGAGCACAAAGTGCAACTAAAAAGTCACTTAAATATCAACCAACAAATAACATAAAACAACAAAAAGTTGGATTTGAGAAAAGAAGGAACAAAACAATAATCCAGTCAAACAACAGTCACAATGAAAAGACAAAATATAATAAAGTGAAATCTTGTTACTCTACCAAATAACACAACACCAATACCACCGGATATCATGAGTACAAAAGCAACCAACAACCATCCAAAAAAGATGGAAAAATACAAAGCTATATACACATATGTTGCCAACAACCATCTAAAAAGAATTGAATTAAGAAAAAACAAGCTCAGACTAACCTAGATCGCAAATTGAGACTACATGAAAAACAAAATATTAGATCAACTTAAAGATAAAAACAACCTAATAAAAATATAAATGAATTTTAAGATCAAAAGATAGAAAGATTCCTCCCAAGAATAAGAAAAATGTGTAGACAAGAAACATATAGAGCATAATTAAAAAAAAAAAAATGCTAGAGTCTCAAATTGAAGTATGGGCACATCAAAACCCAGACAACAAACAGAGACTCAATCAAAGACTCAATCTAGATTTTTAGAGGAACAAACAAGTAATCAATTAAAAAACTCCCTACAAGTAAAAGAAAATAAGTTACATATAAAAAAGTAAGTACATAACAAAAATACAAAGAATAATTCCCAATAAATAAAAAAAAACGTTGTTTCTCATAATGAAGTCTAGGTACATCATAGCAAAGCTAATGGAAAAAAAATAAAAAAGCAAAATATGAAAAACAACAAGAAAAGAAGATCCATTGGCAAAAGCAAGTTCACCAAAAGTTAGAGATTATAATTGGAGATACCATTCTTAAATTTCAACTTCTTACTATTCAACTTTGCCAACTCATGAATATTTTTGATAATAGCATCACTAGGGGTATGTAATTTATTCAAAATTCTAAAGTTTCTTTCAACCCAAATACGAATAGCAATAGCTTGCATCACAATTAGAAAAAAAGATTATAAACTTTATAATCGATGGTATCAAAATGATAAATAACCTGAAACACGTTGCTACCCGATATAAAGAATCCACCATTATGAATACATTTTTTCAAGAGATAACGAGAAAAGAATACTAAAAAAAAAATAATAATAAGACTTTAAATCAATAGACAAAAATACAAATAATATTAACTTAAATGCCTCTAGCATTCAAAATATCATTTGTCTTGAGAACCTCGTGAATAATCCCTTTACACCAAAAAGCTTATTCCAATACCTTCTAGGCAAATTTTCATGAGTATAAAAGTAGGCCTTCTTATTGGAATAGTATCCCAAACCCCTATATCTATAATTTATATTGTTATTAACAATCTGTATATCATAAATTAAATTGAGACAATTATCAGGAAAACTCTGATTTTGACTAAAAGACCAACAATTATAATATGTAACATCTTTGATTTTAACAAAATTTTGAAATTGAAACAATCAAAGAAAGAATTTTCAAAAATGTCAAAAGAAAATCACCAATTATCCAGGGGTCAAAAAAGGAAAGAAGATTACTCACACAATTAACATGAAAAAGAAAGGAGCTAAATTTGCTAGCCAACTTAATAATTTTTTTCTAGAAAAAAAAAAGAATGAGATTGATAATTGGAAATTAACCAAATAGAACCATAATGTTCAATGCACCAATTAGCTAAAAATTAATTAAAATTGAAATGTCTTCAAATAATTTTAGCCTAAAACATAAAATCAAGATTATCTAAAGAACAACAATGCCTCCATAAGACTTAGGTAAAGTAACATTCTCCCAATAAATAATACTCATTTTCGCTACATTACTATTTTTAAATTAAAATTATTAAAAAGTAAATCTTTCCTGACCGGCTTAAAATAATCAGTCCACATTTTTAAAATGAATGGTCTGCCATTTATAAACTATGTTCCTCCTCACAAAACCACATCAAAATCTTCCACACAATTAAATTTAAAAAGAAAAAAAAACCCTTTGTAAGAGATAACATATCAACCACACCTTTAAGCTTTCATATTTTAGAAATGATTTGAGACATGTTACAATTAAAATGTCTCCTTCCTAAAGCATAACCGACTAATGAAAGTTTCCAATGTTTAGATCCATCATCAGTTTCTTGCTCAGAAAAGATAACTTTCTCTTGTTCGTAAGGTATATAAGAAAGAGTAAAATTTGTAAAAGCAGAAAAATTTGAAGAAATAAGACCTTTATAGTTAAGGGAAGGGCTAGGGTTTGAAATAGATCTAAAAGAAAAAAAAGATTAAAAGGAGGAAAAGAAGACAAATCCATGATTAGAAAAATCTCATGATACTAAAATTCTCGGAGGATATATATATATATATATTACTTATTTGAGCATCTCATAAGATAGAAATCTCAAAAGAAATAAAAGCTAGTTTAGAGCTTTGAAAGACACTAAACACTAATTATAGTTTGTTTGTGATCTCTTTTATTTTTATTTACTTTTAGTACATTTTTTACATATATGTTTTAAAAAAATTAAATTAGTTTATTTTTTATAAACACTAAAAAAAATTAAATGTTATTTTGAGTGTATAAAAATAACTAAATATGTTATTGTTATAAAAATAATTTAATTTGTTGGTTTAGAATCTTACAAATTTACATAATTATGTGATTATATTTATTTGATCATGTATACAGACCAATGAGCTTGACAGAGAGCCATCCACAACAAAATTGCATGTCCTTACACATCGACATGCGAACACAAAACAGTATCCTACAACTCTTTGTGTGTCAATGTAAGTTTTAAAAAAATAATTTTCTATTTTTCTGAAGAGTTATTAATATAC